AAAGTTTAACGATTTTGACATCAGCCGTTTGTTTACATTTCTTTGTTGTTTACAATTTGTTGGCGGCTTTTTACTGCAATTTTCTTCATTTTCGCCTGCGACAACGTGTGTATACATAAGATATAAGCATAATTTAACACAACGGCATGATTTATAGAAGAATTTGCATAATAAATATGACTATTCATGCGTTCAACAATTTTGCGGTTTTCTTCGTTCTCTTCGTTGTTTACTTCTTACAACAAATATGGCGTCGAGATTTCGACAGCTAGAAAATAACTTTTTTCTTTCTTTCCTTCCCGCGTGATCTTGTGTTCATCGTTCATGGCTGATTCAAGTGTTTATTTCGTTTGTTATTAGTTAAGCCAAAAGATAATAACACATACTTTTACTCAACTGGGAGGTAAATATTTGTTAATCATATTAGATTTTATTAACATATCTCTGTCATTTTGATAAAGCCACTTAAGTTAAAGTCAAATTTATTTTGGATTAAAAAATAATGAGTCCCTCCAAGAATTGTATATTTTTATTGAGCTTATGTTAAAACAACATCGTGAGCTGTATATATATGCCTATTTAATAGTTAAAATATTGTTTGGGAACCCAATAAAATATTGCTTTCAAGAGCAAATTGTCTAACTAGGGATAATTTGTTTTATCAAAATGCGCCCCACATAATCAATTATAAAGTATGCACCAAAATTAAAAAATTTGTATGGCATCCCTCGAGATCGTATCGCATAGAGCTAATAAAGGGTTCGTTTCCACTATCGGAAAACTTACAGTTTTTAGTGCAGAAAAAGCTATTTATGTTGCTACTTGGAGATTTCATTAATTTATACTAAAATTTAATGGGCTATAAAACTGGATGCTCAATAAACTGCAAAGCTGCAAAAGAGACCGTTCGAAAATGCATCATCAAACAATTTTTTTTCCACGAAAGAATAGCCCAGTGATGACAAAATTAATCATCAAAAGCACCCTGTGTGGAAAATAGTTTATTATCTCACACCACGTTGCACCCTGTCTTCAGTTTTTCTTCTCTTTTATGTTTACTTTTGTAATGTATTGGCCCAGTTGGAAATTCACTCCAGTTGGTTGACAGAACACGTCATCGTTGAGCTATGGAAAAACTAAAAATACAGATTGATAGTACTTTTTATTATATTTGGCGCAATTTAAAAGCAAAGAGATAAAAAATAAAATTTTTCGATATTTAAAACTATAACCGATTAAAAAGGTAATGATGTCAAAATAAAGCCAATTAATTTGTCTTTCCGTTGATATACAAAATGTATATGCTTGTTTATATATTTAAGCAAAAAATATTAAAAACAAAATAAAGTCATAATTTTTTCATAAAATAACCTTTCTTTGAGAAAAATACATAT